AAATAGATAACCAATAAGATAACAAGTATTCTAGAATCTATTTTTAATTTCCTTTTTTGGAACCAAAGCTAATCGGTATTCCTTTTTTAGAACCAAAGCTAATCGGTATTCCTTTTTTGGAACCAAAGCTAATCGGTATTCCTTTTTTGGAACCAAAGCTAATCGGTATTCCTTTTTTGGAACCGAAGCAGAAATCGGTATTCCTTTTTTGAGCCAAAGCAAAATGGTGAACTCTGATTGGCTAATATTTTGGCCGAAGCATTTTCTACTAAGCCACCGAAGCATTTTTAAATGATCTGATTGGCTAGTTTTTTGAGCCGAAGCATTTTTAAGCAATCTGATTGGTCGACGGTATCTTTAGCCAATCAGAGTTCACCGTTTGGTGAGCTGAAGCAAAATAGAAAGTTTTCTTTTTTCTTGTGACGTAGTCTGAATTTTTTTTGAAATCTTAGTCAGACAAATCAATAGCTTCTGCATTCCACAGGTAATAGTGAAAACGTTGTTTTCTACCTGTGGAATGATTTTAAATTGTAAAAAAAAGGTCAAATTTAATAAAAACGTTTTTTGTAAAAAGTTAAAAAAAACCCGTCAAACTAAAAATCGTATTTTACGAGAAATTTTATTATGTGAATCGACTTTGAGTCAATAATAAAAGTTGTTCGTCTAACAAAAAAACTTATAGTTTGTTAAAACGAATTTGTACATTTCTCTAATAAAATTTTTAAGTATGAGCTAAATACGATCGACGCGAATCTGTATGATAAGGATCTACAAAGAAAAAAAACGAAACGAAAAAAGAAATCGTTATATCTCGATGAATATCGATCCAATCGTTCTGAAAATTTACAGCCTAATAGAATAAATATTTCTCTACAAATTTAGTTAGAAATGTAAAGCATGTTTAGAAATGAGAAAATTAATTCGAATAAAGAGTTTTTTTAGGGATGTGACAAATATGATTTTTAAATTCCTTTTTTGGAAACTGGCGGTGTTGTTGTCGATCAGTTTGGTGAATTTTTGACCCATTCAAAATTCACCATCTAATTAGATGGTGAATTTTTGTCATTGTCATGTGTTTTCTAAGATTTCTATTGGTTGATTCAATGTCTATACGAATGCTATTGGTTGGTGCGGTAAGCCGCAGTTGATCAAAATTCACCATCTAAGAAAAGATTTATAGGGGTACTAAATAAGGAAATTTTCTATGTCGATCATTTTGTATTTGCATAACGAGTAATGTGTAGTCTTTCCGTAACACTCATATGGAAAGACTACGTATTTAGTGCAAACAAATCATAAAAATATAAAATTTTAAAATATTATTAAATTTTATTTTCTTATTTTTTGTTATACAAAAAATAATCTGTATATTGCATTTAATTTTATATTTTAATTAGCTTTTCTATTTGTCTTGTATAACAAATATTTAAATACTCTGTATATAATTAGAAACTGTTTTTTTATATATTAATTAGAAATTAATAATTTAACCAAATTTGCCAAAAAATTATTTAGTTAATTTTTATTAAAAGTTATAGCTATTTTTATAATTTTTAGAATATTTGATAAAAGTTAACCAAATAATTTTTTGGCCAATTCTGATTAGTATATATATAAATTATATTATATATATAAATTAATTATAATTTAAAATTTATGCACAACTAAATAAACTAAACTAAACTTGTTTAGCAAGTATTTATATAAAAATTTAATATTATTATTAATAGAAAAAGTTAAAGATCACGCACGTGATAGTATCACAGGTATATTATCTCGGTATCGATAAAGTTTAGTTTTTGTTAGTTTAGGGTTTGGGTGAGCACTTAGGTTAGGGTTAGGGTTTGGGGTATATAGTAAAATCGCTCAAGGAAAACTTTTTGTTAGAGCATGGAAGGTGGTTTCCTATGCAGGTTTTGAGTAATAAGCGATTTTTGTTAGTTTTTTGATAAAATGACTATTTGTTTTGAATTTTCTGATCGTGTTATGTTACACGAGATCCTGAAATCTGATTGGTTCAGTGATGTATAAGCCATTGTCACTTATGTAACAAATAACTTTACTCATTATTAATAATATTAAAATTATCTATTAAACAAATATCATATATAGGATAACAATATATATATATTTTTTTATTTTAGTGATCCTACTTTTATTTTATAGATCAGAAGTACATTACAAAAATGTTCTTAGCTAGCTAGGCTTTATACAAATTGCTAAACTACTATATTCTTGTCCAAATAAAGATTCTCTTAATTTGTCTCATTATCGCAGTAAAACTATAACTGAACAAAGAATTTTACGCTAGAGTATAACCTAGAAGCGACCCACCTAAATGACAATTTTTCTCCTTCTAGGATCCTTAACTTACTAAGAATATGAGCTCTGAATATCAACAGATAGAAGCATCGACCTTGTCAGAATCACAGCTCTACAATAGAGTACTGCCAATCTGATAACACTTTTTCATAGAGAAGTAAAAAAAAAAAAAAAAAAGGTAAGAGTAAAATGAAAATAGTGAAAATAAAAAAAAAGATAATATATAAGAAAATGACCAAACTATAAAGAAATCTAAAAACTATCCTAAAATCTAAAAGAACTTGTTTACAGATATAAAAACCTGCTAACCAGGTAAAAAACTATCTACATAGTCATAGAAATCTATAAATAATGCTTTCTGACAAAAAAAAGAAACTATGAACTAAGATGCACTTTAACCTGTACTAAGGGCTAAAAATTATATGCATATAACTTTAGAATATTGCATATCTCTATTATATCACTCCAGTTTACAACTTTCATAAAATCTATCTTGAATCATAGAATGCTGATTTTAAAGCCTCAACACATAATTATCAGTTTTATTTATAACAGGCCAATTTTCCTAAAATCTTTTTACAGTCTCACTTTGAATCTTGCTTCTTCATTATACAAGATTAAACAGGAAATCTTCCCTATGGTCAACCAATATTATTAGAAGCTACTTTCTTGCATTTTTGTATAGTCAATGCCAATTCAAATATAAGACTTTTATGTACTTCAATTTTATTTAAACAGAACTTTCTTCTTACACATTATTGTTGTATTTCTTATTCATCAAATCATAACTCGAGACTTTTCAAAAATAAAAATATAAACAATGCTGATCTTTTGAAGAGTAGCCAAATCCTCCACTTTTTGTCGAAAATTATAAAAAGAAAAAGCAGTAAAAGAAAAGTGTAGTTTTGTGAGTTTTTAATTAAGGAGTTTGTTCTAAGAGTTCTTCATAGTCTTCTGTTCTCAAAATAACTTGAGTCTTCTTTCTACTTACTGTTTTTAGAGACTCCTCTGGTTTGGATGCCAAATGCAAAGAGGAGTCTACTCTAGAGAAGAAAGAGCTTGACCTTTTTGCAAACCATCCAAAATATCTGCTTCTCAGTATATCATATTTAAGACTTTATTGACAACAGCTTGTATTAAAAAAAACTTCAAGTTATTTGTTTTCTACTGGTTTTGAGTCTTTGTCTTGTTTTCGGAGACTGGTTGGTACAAGTGATCATTGAGGAGAGTTGTATCTGTATATATATTTTATATAAATTTTAGTAAATGCAATTTTAATTATATTTTTATAAGGTATCTTTTTTATAAAAGTTTGGTCAGCCATGCTAATTTACTAGACTTGGTATACTCAATTGTACTTTGAAATTCTACATAACCATTACTTTTATCTACAGTTATAATTTACAACAATACAATATTTGATATCTTCAAAAACAATCAAGTATCACAAATTTTGCAATAAATTGTAGCTAACAATGCTATTCAAATATATCTTACATTCTATACAGATGGATCAGTTAGTAATATTAATATACAATAGATATTAACTAGATACAAATCTCATACAATATTATCCAACAAATATTTTTTACAAAAATTAAACTTTGGCCTTATTATAAAGCTAAATTAATTGCAATTCTTTCTACAATTAATATATATCCTAGACAATATAATATAACTATCTATACAAATTCATAATTTATAATATCCAAATATTATAAGCTTAAAAACTCATTATCCACACCTAACAAATAATGCTTCTACAACTATTAACCTATCTAGCATATATTATTTAACCTTATTACAATATACAAGCTTACTATTAATTTTCAGAAAATTATTGTACACAGTACCAATATATTTAATAATACTGCAGATAAGCTATTCAAAAGCTCTAATCAACTAATTATACTTGAATTAATATACAACAATATTTACAACACATTATACTATCTTCAATATGAAGAATTTGCAATTAAGCAAGCAACATGCAAATTTATTAAAATATATATAATGCTCACATTATTGCTATGTAGTCTTTACAACATCATATGAAATATATGATATATTTATTTCTACAAGTTAGCTAGAATACAACCTGGTTTTATTTAAATAACAATTATAAGAAATTATCACTATATATTAGTTTTCAATTATGTCAAGAAAAAACTTTTAAAATCAAACTGCTACTTGGTATGCTTCCAACTTTATTATATCTATATTCACTATATTCTAAAATATTTTCACTGATAGGAGTAAAACACTGATAGTTAATTAGTTTATTATAAAGATCTTGAAGCTGTGTGCTTGTTATTTCAAGTCTTTTAAAGTAAAATAATTGTTGTATTATACTAGTAATAATAGAGCTTAAAGTAGATATGTTCAGACATGTAAGCCAATAAAAATAGTTCTCTTATATATTGCATATTATGCAGTTTATCTAACTATTGTACAAGTATTTATTTTTTATATATACAAAAATGTGTGCATGTGTGCAGATCTAATCAAAATTTTAAATAAAGCAATTTGATTAAATCTGCACACATGCACACACTTTTGCATATATGAAAAACCAACACTGATTGTATATACTCTAATACAAATATATATGCTACAATTCAGAGTTATATTTCTATAATACTTATAAAAACTATATGTGAATTTACTGATTCTTACAAAACAACTATTGAAATCACTACTAAATTTTTTTTACAACTATCACAAAATATATATAACCAAATTTGAAAACTATATTGCATAAAACTTGCAGAATAGAAACAATGAAATAATATCCCTTAAAGTATAATACAGGCAAATTTGCCTGCGTTCATTTTTTTAAACTCTAATTTTTAATAAAATCTTAAATATTAATTTTAGCAATATA